AGATGATGGCACGGATGTGGAGAGAAAGACACTGTTGGTGGGACTGTGGAAAACTGTATGGGGATACCTCAGAGAACTTAAGTCAGACCTACCATTTGATCCAGCAATCCCATTGCTGGGTATACACCCAAAGGAAGAAAGAGCACTGGTAAAAAGGATACCTGCACTCAGATGTTTATAGCAGCACCATTCATAATCACAAAGCTGAAGTCCACCAATACATGAATAAAAAATAAAATGCAGTATATGCGTTCCATGGAGTACTACTCCGCCATAAAGAAAACAGCAGTCTAGTATCTTTTGTGACAACCTGGAGACTATTTTTCTAAGTGAAACATCACAGGAATGGAGAAACAAACACATGTACTCAATAGCAGGTTGGAACTGATCGATCAACACTTAAGTACACATATAGAAATAAATCTCAACAAATCTCAAGATGGGAGAGGGGCGTTGGGGGTGGGTAAATTCACACCTATTGGGTATGGTGCACACTATCTGGGTGGGGGGCATACTTGTAAACTTGATTGAATTTGTGCAAAAAAAAAATAACTATGTAAACAAAACACATATACCCCCTAATGTCCTAAAATTGCAAAGAATTATGTATGTAATAAAACATGCAAACCACGTGAAAAAAACTTGCTGGCTTGCATTTTGCTGGCTGTATCACCCGATTTTCCTTTTGCTTCTTTTTTTAAGTTTGCTAATTTTTATTCTATTTTCCTATGCGGCATAAATCTTGTTAGAACACTTTTAAACCTATTTAAAACAAATTGAAATATTAATATATTAGAAAAACGAGAAGCCACAGTGAAGCAGTATCTAGTTAGTGGGTCAAACATAATACACAAAACGTCTCAGAATTCTAATCTTAGCTTTCTCATTAATCTATCAGTTAATAGTAGGGATTAACTGTAACTATAAAGCTTAATCTATAACAAGCTTAATATTAAAGCCTAAAGAATAAAACCACACAGACATGATAAATAATGAGGAAATTCAGAAATCAAGTTACAAAAGATAACATATTCCAAAATGCAGCCACCAGCCTCTCAACTCTTCAACCTTTTCTGGGAGTCAGTTATAAAGGATATTACTGCTTCCGGCATCTTCTAGTGGATGACAACATTTCACTGTCATTAAAAAGCACAATACTTCTGGCCAGGTGTGGTGGCCCATGCCTGTAATCCTAGCACTCTAGGAGGCCAAGGCAGGTGGATAGCCTGAGTTCACAGGTTTAAGATCAGCCTGAGCAAGAGAGAGACCCCGTCTCTACTAAAAATAGAAAAACTACCCAGATGTTGTGGCGGGCACCTGTAATCCCAGCTACTCAGGAAGGTGAGGCAGGAGGATAGCTTGAATCCAGGAATTTGGGGTTGCTATGAGCTGCGACACCATAGCACTCTACCCAGGGCAACAGTGAGACTCTGTCTCTCAAAAAAAAGGGCAGCACCTGTGGCTCAGTGAGTAGGGCACTGGCCCCATATCTGAGGGTGGCAGGTTCAAACTCGGCCCTGGCTGAACTGCAACAACAATAAAAAATAGCCAGGCATTGTGGCAGGTGCCAGTAGTCCCAGCTACTTGGGAGGCTGAGGCAAGAGAATCACCTAAACCCAGGAGTTGGAGATTGCTGTGAGCTGTGTGACGCCACAGCACT